ATAACTTAAAATGTGCAAAATAATTAAAGAGCTCAGATCTTCACACATGTACTTGTGGTGACTGGTGCTAGATATTTAGTGTCAATCAAGGAAGTCTTCCTGGTAGAGGTGAATTTGAGTTTAAAGGACAGCAAGGGACTTGGGTCCATAGATCTTAGGCCCCCTGAAAATCATGACCATACTTTCTCATTTCCCTCCATCCCCTTTGTAATATGCACAAGCCTGAGCATAGAGAAGGCCCTTGTTTAATGAACAATCACCAACAGATAGAGAGTGAATGTATCTAGCTGGTGAGTTGGAGACAGCAGAGTTGGAATGGAGTAGGGATCAGGGAGGAGGGCTGGTTGGAATGGAGAGCCTGGGGCTGGTGTGGGGGAATGGCAGTAGAGTGATAACAGGGACAGAGGGAGTTGCCCTATGTGTGTGGAGGCCACTGAAGCACAGCATTTAGAGCAGCTCCCTCATATTTATGGAGTTGGTGAGAGACACTTTACTGAATCTTGGATAGTTAACGCTGGAGACTATTAAATTATAAAATCATAGATTGCTCAGCTTCTAGAGCTACACAATCATGGGAAGTTAGAGAATTAAAACCATAGCGTTGCCCTAGCCAGTTTTGCTCAGTGGATAGAGTGTCAACCCATGGACTGAAGGGTCCTGGATTCCATTCCAGTCAAGGGTACATACCTTGGTTGCAGGGTCGGTCTCCAGCCCTGGGCAGGGCGGGAACGGGAGGCAAACAATCGCACTCTCTCTCTCACATTGATGTTTCTCTCTCTCTGTCTTTCCCCCTCCCTTCCACTCTCTCTAAAAATCAATGGAAAAATATCCTCAGGTGAGGATTAACAAAAATATAAATAAATAAATAACCATAGCATCTTAACAGGGCAGAATCACAGTGTGTTGAAATTATAGAACTGTAGTCTCTTAGAACCAAAGGGCTAAAAATTCACATTAGAGAATCTAAAATTCAAGCTATCTCAGTGTCAAAGGGGAAAAGAAACACTATTTTATGGGCTCCCTCTAGTTTTATCTGTGATGGTGCTAGGAGTATTCTAGTACATTAGCCCATCCAATTCCTTTCACACGCTTTAAGCCGTCCCGTCCCATCTCTACGCAATGCAGTACTTCTGACAAAGGTCTATCAAACACAGGTTTCCGTAAGTTTCTTTACAGAGGAGCCCTTGCCTCTGTGCATACCTCTATCCCCTGTGGACTAGCAGCTGGAAAGTTCTAACTTACATAAACTATACTCTGTCTCCTTGCGGTGTCCCCACACTAGTCCAGTTCATGCCCGTAGAGCTACCTGGAGTAAGTCTGATCTCCATTCACACGACAGCCTTTCAGACAGGTAGAAGTCCTGCTTTCTTCTCTCAGATAAGCTGGTTGTTCCCATGTAGCTAGACATGGGGCGGCAAATCAAAGAATATTTGATCTGGAAAGGCCCTTACAGTCATGTTGTCCAGAGACTTCCATTTATTGCCAGGCAATACAGCATTATGGTCAGAAAGCCTGGGCTGTAGAGAGAGAGAGAAGCCTGAATTCAGAATCCAGAGATACAGCACTAACTTGCTATGGAACCGCTGGCAAATTCCCTAATGTCTCTGGGCCTCACTCTCCTTATCCATAAAACAAAGAGAATAATAATATTGACATAGCAGAGTTGATGTGAGGATTGAATGGGATAAAGCAAGGGAAGCTCTCAGCAGAGTGCTTGGCACACAGTAAGCAGTTAGTAAATATTAGCTATGGTTATTAGAGGCCCAGAGGGGCAGGGACTTGCTCAGAATCACAGAGTAACTCAGAGGCAGAGCTGGAGTCAGACCGAGGACTCCTGCCTCCCAGCCCAGGGCCCTTTCCTACTCCACATTTCCACTCTGCCTTCCTCGGGAAAAGGAAATGACCCCAAAGGGAACTGGAATACTTTGTCACTGAGTCAGTTGGAATGCAAGTAAGAGAAAACCTGGTTTAGAATGGCTTGACCCTTTTATTTCTTTTCTTTTTTTAAATATATTTTATTGATTTCTTACAGAGAGGAAGGGAGAGGGACAGAGAGTCAGAAACATCGATGAGAGAGAAACATCGATCAGCTGCCTCCTGCACACTCCCCACTGGGGATGTGCCCGCAACCAAGGCACATGCCCTTGACTAGAATCGAACCCGGGACCCTCGAGTCTGCAGACCGACGCTCTATCCGTTGAGCCAAACCGGTTAGGGCACCTTTTATTTCTTTAACAAGGAGGCCAGAGGAAGGTGGATCCAGGGTTGGTCTGGTGATTCACCATGTTTCTGATGACCCAGACTTTTCCCATTCTAAGCAGAGGGAAACTCTACTTGTGATCACAAAGTGGCTGATGTGACACTGAGCACCGTGCCCTCCCAAGCAAGAAGAAAGGGCCTGGGAGTAAAAAGGGCCTCCTCCTCTCATGCCTCTCTTTTATCCAGGAAGGGAGCTTTCCAAGTGGACCATCTCCTTCTATGCCATTGACCAAAATGAGGTCACACATCCACTCTTAGACCACTTACTGGCAAAGGGAACGGTGTTTCCATGAATCGCTTGGATCACCCCTGTTCCTGGGCACCTTGCTCCTGAAATAAGGACGAGGGGATTGGCTGTGGGAAGGTAACCAATAGTGCCTGCCATACTCACACTCTGTCTTCTCTCTAGATTGGCCTCATCTCCTTTCTAGCCTCTGCCAGGGAGCCTTCCCTATTTACACTCCTTTGACCAGCACACCCTCTTCTACCATGTAATCAAACATTACCCAGTTCAGTTCACAGTCTATTTGGACAAGGTCGCTCATCTTTTCATGTCCAAATCTTGTCTTCTCAACCTGTCAGCTTTGGGAGGCTAATAGCAGCTACTAATGAATAAGTACCTATTGTGTGCCAGGCACTGTTCTAGGCACTTGTGAGCCAGCTTCCAAATGACTCCCAATGATCTACACCCCCTGGTATTCCTACGCTTTTGTATTTCCCTCCCACACTTTACCAAGGTTAATCTGTGTGACCAATAGAATATGGCAAGTGATGATATGTCATTTCCAAGATTAGTTGTAAAAGATGAGTGGCTTCCATCTGGGTAGCACACATTCTCTTTCTTGGATCATTCATTCTAGGAGAAGTTAACCACCATGTCATGAGCAGCCTTGTGGAGAGGCTTGTGTGGAAAGAAACTGAAACCTTTGACCATGGTTACAGAATAAGCCTGGAAAAGGATCATCCTGCCCCAATTGAGCCTTCTGATGACTGCAGCCCTAGCTGACATTCAATTGGAACGTCATGAGAGATCCTGAGCCAGAATCTCCTAATTTATCCTCTTCTGGGTTCTTTATCCTCAGAAACTGGGTGAGATAATAGAAATTTGTTGTTTTTAAAAATATTTTTTTTTTATTGATTTCAGAGAGGGAGAGATAGAAACATCAATGATGAGAGAGAATCATTGATCAGCTGCCTTCTGCATGCCCCTCCCCCTCTTCCCACTGGGGACCCAGCCCACAACCGGGCATGTGCCCTGACTGGGAATCAAACTTCGACCTCCTGGTTTATGGGTCGATGTTCAACCACTGAACCACACCAGCTGGGAAAAATTTGTTTTAAGATGCTAAGTTTTGGGGTAATTTGTTACTCAGCAGTGGTTAACTACTTACTGTAGTGCTACATTATCACATTAAATCCTCAGAATAAACGTGAAAGGTGAAATTTTTCTCCCACTTTTCAGATGAGAAAACCAAAGCTGAGATGAGTGTAGTGACTTCCCACACCTGGGAAGTGGCTGAGCTAGGATTTTCCCATGTCTATTGGGTTTCAGATCACAGGGAACCTGGTTCTGTTTCCTCAGGTGGAATGTCTCCAGCTCCAGGGCGAAGTTTGAGGAACCGAGGACAGGAGGACGTGGCCTCTTTGTCTGCGGTGTTTCGCTCCCTCTTTTCATTTCAATCACGTTAGTTTGCAGTTGTGGCATCTTTTGTGTATATGTGAGGCAGTGACAAGTAGGTTTATTCGAAAAAAACATCAGAGTTTTAAGAGGGTGTTACTTGGGCTCTTGAGTGACCTTGGCTGAGTTCTTACGCTCTTGTAGGCCTCAGTTTCTTTATCTCCCATATGGAGATAATAACCCTGTTCCACATCCCTCACCAGGGAACCATGAGCATCCAGTACAAAGGGACTTTGTAAAATGTCAAGTACTGTGATCCCAGAAAGGTTTGCTTTGAGTAAGGAGCACCCTCACCCAGGCACTCACAGCCCACATGGAGGTGGCCCCGCGCAATCTGCAACAGTGGCCCGTACTCCCTCTTCTCTCCCACCTGAGTCTAGGTTCAGGAGACAGAGCATACTGAGAGAAACTGAGAGCCCCAACCCACTCCTTCAACCTCCTCCCTCACTATCATCTCCCTCTTAGGTAATATTGCAGCCACTGAAGTAGTGGAAATTTCCCAAGCCTGACAGGAGCCTTTCTGTATGCTGAGCCTCTATCTGTGCCGTTTCTTCTCCTTGGACACCATTCCCAACTTCTCCACCTGGTGCGTCACTACTCATCTTTCATGACTCAGATGTCCCCACTTTCAGGATACCTCTTGACCTGGTTCAAAGCCTACTTCTCCTCTGCATTCGTGCACCAGACTCCTGCCTGAGCACTTGGACGCCAGCTTCTCTTTTCTACTCAAAGCCCTCCGTGGCACAGCCAGCAGTCTTTCTAAAACACACATCTTGTCACGTCACTCCCTGCTTAAAATAACCGCCCAACGGAATACTCTATCAATCAATGTTTCAAGAGCTCCTCCTTGCTCTCAGGAAAACATCCAACGCCTCCAGCTGGAACTCAAGGCTTGCTCCCCACTGGTGTCTGCAGCCTCAGCTCTCCTCTCTCCTGGTCGCCCTGCACAGGTGGTACATCCTAGCCACACTGATGTTGTTTCATAACTCGGACACACCTCGCTCTCTCGTG